GACGACGAGAAGGCGAATTAACGCGGGAGTATCAATCTGAATTAAACTCAAAGATTAGCGGAAGAACTACTGAAGAATATGTAGAGGAGAATAAAGAAAAAATCAGCAAACGGAAGAAGCAATACAAGAAAAACAACGAAGAAAGATTAAAGGAACAAGATAAAGAATATTATGAAAGAAATAAAGACAGGATTTTGAAACAACAGCAGGAATATTATGAAGCCAACAAGGATATTAAACAAGCATACTATAGCAGAAACAAAGACTCTATTCTTCAATACAAGGCTAGAAAATCACTTGATGAATGCGAAGACTGACAACAATGGGCTCTTTTGCTTCTAACTCAACTGTCTGAGCGCTCACGCTTCGGTGGCTTGGCTTCAAGCTACGTGCTCCACACAATAGCCTATCAGCATGCTTGCACTGTACACTTGCATAACGAGTCGGTACACTTTGTGGTGGCGGATGTGTTCGCCAGGCCTCAGGCAAGAATCTGATCCTCATACTTGTGCGGCATCACAAGTCGACCAGACATTACGGCTTGAATGAGGTCCCTAGGTGCTGAGCCTTTGGTCATGGCGTCTGCCACCATTGCCCTGGTGTCGCACCAAAGCAAGTGGGTTAGCCGCTGTTTTGCCAGGAGTGCCCTGAGCCAGCAGACATGAAGCATTAGGCTCGGCTCAGCAGGCACTCTTACATTGGGCGCAGTCACGGCTGCGCTGACACTCCTCGCGTCGATGACTAAAGCAAGACCCACCGAGCTCTTGTGAGTCCCTTCAATCAACTGGCGAGCTGTGTCTGTCGACACGACGCCTTCTTTCAACTCATGTAACACAATTGAACTCAGGAGGCCTAAGTCAACAGAATCTGTAGCTGCAAAAAGTTCTGAAGAGAAGGTGCTCCTTGTTACATGCCGCTGACTTTTGCTCACATAGTCAACTAGGTGGCACTTCGTTTCTGGCTTGCCATCCAACACGTCTTGCATGCACACGCGCACGCTGACCAATCCCCTCATGGAAAGGCCATCTTCTGCGCGAGCCTTAAAAGCGGAATCAGATATCTGAAGCAAGGTGTCCGGATATGGCATCTTGGGGTATGTCAAACGACGTGGATTCTCTTGGATCCATTTCAAGACTGTATTTAAACGCTTCACATGGATCGGCTTGGCCACATGAGCTTCACGTTGCAACGCGGCAATGAACACTGACACATCTGGACGAGTGAGCAGTCCATATGCCACTGTCATCAGCAAACTCAGAAAATGACGTCTGACATGCTCAGGAAGAGGAGAGTCAGGCTTCATGGCTATGAGCGGGGGCAGCATCATTGGCTTGCACGCCGAAAGAAACTTTATCTGATCCATCGTGATGCTGCCGTCTGCTGCCTGCGTGCGCAGCACGCCGCAGAAGATGAAAGAACCATACTCAACCTCCATTTTTCCAAACACACCAGAAAGATGTTGAACGAATTTCTCGATCTGATGCTTCTGACCTGCCATCTTAAGGTCATCAACATGCTTAAGAATAATCATGATGAGCACCTCACTGGCATATAGCATCTCGAGCTCTGGATCAACAGTGCTGCAGACAAAACCGTACTGCTTTGTGATCTTACGCAGTTGGACACTGAAGCTTTTCGGAGCATCCCGGCATCCTGTGCCCGGCTTCAAGCAGTGAAGAACCTCAGTACGAGGATTGAACGAACTAAACTCGGGCAACATCTGAAGGCATGCCAAGCCTTCGCCGGTGAGCTCGAAACACACGTCTCGTTCCGGTTTTCCGGTCACCTCTGCCAACTCTTGGTAAGAAACGCCCTGAAGAAACGCTTTCGGTACGTCTGAGCTGGCGATGACCCAATCCTTCAACACACATTCTGATGCGAGAACACGCTGACTATAGCATGACGCTGTAGCTGCGTAATTACTTTGGTCGTCGGCACCTGTCTCTTTAAAGCCCCGTAAACAGAGGCGCGCTCGGATGCGCCGGACCCCCTTTATGTGCTTCCACTTCAGAACCCATTTCACGTCTATGACGCAGGGTGCTGATTTCTTCGCACGCCGGGTAAAGCATTTAAAGGATTGCCAGGTACGCAATTCGTCAAGTATAGCCTGCGTTACTTCGGCTGCGTGCTCGATCTTCTCTTGCGATGTGAGGAGGTCATCCGTCCTCTCTATTACAGCCTTTCTTGTATGATTTTGATAAAATCTCCATTCTACGTGCTCGTCAGCATTGGGGAGCCTGGTGAGGCCTTCAAAGCACTTGGCCCATGCGTCGTAGGCTTCGAGCGCTACATAGGCGCCGTTCTCGTCTGCATCCAAGTAGTCTGCCTCGACCTCCGTGCTTGTGTACGCGAGGGCTTCATCAAACTGCGCACAGGTGAACATGGTCAGGGCTTCTGGCTGGAGTGCCTCAGCCCAAGGAGTAGGAGCATGGCAATCCAAGTCCTGTTGAGCAATACGCTCTTGCAGCTGCTCAAGTCCTGGGACCTCAGGATGGGACGGACATTTCTCATTTTCGCAGGCAAGGTACGCTTGGCTCAGAGGCTCCACATCCTCAGGCCGAAGGGTCTCGCCAAACAAGTCCTTTATGTCTTCCAAGGAGACAGCACTTATCTCTGTCCCTTCTGGTATTGTTGACAACCGACCGTGACTTTCACTGCTGGCTTCAGCATTGCTGGCTGGTGTGTGCATTGGTGGCTCCTCCTCAGCTCTGCTTCGAGCTGCGAGCCACTCTTCTTCGTCAGGAACGAGAAGAAGTTGGATCATACGCACATGTTGCCACTCTTGGCCACCCACCAGCGATGCCACATGCAACTTGGTCTCCTTTGAATGCAAGAAGTTAATGCTTCGACTAGCAGTTGAAGTCCACCACAGTGTGAAGGAGCCACTGTATCCTTCCCTGTGGGTGAGGGTTCGGACACCATTGGCAAAACGGGCGGCTGCAACATTGGTAAGATGAAACACAATTTCTGCCAGATAATGGCACGCTTGCAACATAGGACGCAACGCTTTGGCGGCGGCTGATTCCAGCCAACCTTCTTGACTGCTCAGAACCTGACCGACAGTCATCACTGTACCAATCGCCAGGCTATCAACATGCTGCAGCTGCTGCTGTGCATAGTTGGCCTGGGATCCTGCTGGTGCAACTAGGTCTTGCTCACCGAAGAAAGCACTAAGCTCATCACTCCAATAAGCTATGCTCCTCCGCACGTCCTGCAATCGGCATGTCAATACCTGGTCCGTGCTTGTGCGTATGCCAATGCGACCAAACTCAGTGCGGGAAAGATCACATACTGTTGCTGGCCCTCTCCAACCGCTGCTATCCTTATTGACGGGGTCCCTAAAGTAGTCGACAGCTTCCCCTAACTTATAGTCAAGCTCTACTGCTGCCGCTCTGGAGTGGGAACCAAGGGCTCGTTTGATCCTTTCTTGGGCAGTGCCAGCCACTATTGCTGAGATAGCAATCTCTCTCAAGCGATGAGCATGACGGGACATATCTCCTGACACATTCTCGCTCAGAGCCATGGTATCGTCTGGAAGCAGCGAGGGCACTCGGCCAAGCACGGCAACATATGGTGAACAGCCTTGAACAGAGCTGAGCGCATTGAGCGCGAAGGTGGACTCGCTGAGAATACGCACAAAGGGCACGACCAGCCCTTCAGAAGATAGCTGGCTGCTTATCTTGTGGATGGTGTCCCTAAGGACGGCGATCTTGCGATCCACAATTCTGGTGTGCTGGCGAGGTGCTGCGGTGCGTTTGGTTATGCCTCGCAGCTGGAAGTACTCAGTTGACTCAGGATCGTCCATGCCTGTTTCACCATCCATGATGAACACGCTCATGGGTCCGAAAACAGCGACCCACATCTGATCAAGGGCATTTAACAAAGTAGGAGTCTTCTTGTCAGGCACGTGCAAGGCTGCTGTCCAACGGACACCCCTGTCGGTGAGCACAAACACAGCTTGCATTGGACCCTGATGCCTAACAAACATGAGGTCACCTTCTACTTCATGATTGAACCCAGTAATCAACCTATTACTGGGCCTGGCGTCAGGCGAGGGTCTTGCCCACAAGCGACAAACCCGACACGTGTCGCAGATGCTCGGCAGTAGATCTAGTGTGGCTTTGGGTATACCGGCCCCTTTCAACATGCGAGCCATTCTGTCTGCACCCGCATGCCACCAGCGAAGGTGCAGCTTACGAAGCACCCTGCGCTGACCAGGGATGTCTGCGTGCCGAAGTGCCCGTAGTGACGACTGCACGTCGAACGAGGTCCAGTCTGAACCATCAGGTGTTTGGGTCTCTGATTCGCCCCAAGTACGGCGCACCCGCTGTTGCTGGTCTGGGCCTCGACCTGCTCGTGGCTCCTGGTCATCTTGCTCACCTTCACTATCGTCCTCATCTGGAGGAGCTGGGTCGCGAGAGCCTCTGGGCTTCACTTTTGCCTTGGCCACGGCCTCTTCCGCAGCAGCTTCTTCTTCACGCCCAAGGTCGGACGCACGCAGGTCTACTGTCGGCTCAGATGCTGCAGGCACTCCGTCGAGAGAAGCTCTCTCGGGGATTGCTGGGAAGCGACATTTCTCATCAAACGTGTGGCCGGCTGCTGAACGAGGCTTCCCGACCTTGCAAGCGGGACAGTCCCAGGCTATAGGACTTGCATGTGGATGCTTGCATTCACCTTCACGTCGGGTGTGCCTTGGGTCATTCTTGTGCAGTCTCCATAGGCAGCCCTTACACTTTCTCCAGCGCTCATCAACTGGCACCTCTCCTTCATCTCCAGGTCCACTGGCGGTGGCATTGCCTCCCAGCAAATTGGCGTGCTCATGATCACCTGGACATTTGAGACCCTCAAATGGTTTCAACAGCGTAGGTGCATTGGCGACAAGTTCAGTCGCCTTTTTCACCAATAAATTGGCTATGCGCTGGCCTACCCGACACTGGTGAAAGATCACTCGATGACAAGAAGCGCGGTGTCGGATAGCTGGCCACGGGTCTACTTCGTATAATTTTGAGGGATACGGCTGCTCAATCAAGTAAAATCTGTGATGGTCATCCTGAAAGGCTGCGATCCTGCCGCAGAAGGCAGCAAGCGGTACTGCCTTGCGCATGGATGCTTCCCAGGCTTCCCTATGGATGATTCGATTTCGGTGGCTCAAAGGCCCAAATGGCCCACATACAGGCGCCATCACCACTACAAGTGGCTTGGCAATTTCCAAATAAGCAAGAACTCGGGATTGCGTTTCAGGCACTGTCAAGTCTGTGCCTGTGAGGAGCTCAAAATTATGGCCGGAACGAAGCTTCCTCTTCACGCACAAGTGTGATGTTACACCTTCACCTCCACAAATTTCCACTATTTCTACTCCCCAGCTGGCAAACTGAGGAGACTGCAATATGGAAACCATTTCAACTAGGTCAACTGCTAACATAGCTTTCGGGTGGAGCTCAGGAGGCAGTGCAACTTCTGATCCCAACATGGACCACTGCACAAAGGAGCTCAGCACTGTGTCAGTGGCCCATTCAGCAAAGTCAGACATCTCATCCTCTGAGGCTGATGACGAATCAATGGCGAACATGGCACTAGTAGCTGTGGCGCGGTTGCTGGTCAGGCTGGAGAGACTTTCGCCACAGTCATCGAAATGCTGCTCTACCACGTGCTTCTTTCGCTTGACATGTACCTCCTTGCCTTGCGCCTTCATGTCTTGGACATGCTGCCGCTGCTTAATTTTCTGTTCGGTTGGAAAACCTTCTTGCGTTACATTGGGCTCTGCGTGGGAATGCAACGAGATGGCTTCAGCAACTTTGTCATTAACGTCTGAATTTGGCAGTGACCCGGCGATCACATCAACAGGCTGCGCCTGACGTAGCTCAGCTCTTAGGTCACTGGCAACATGCATAATGCATAACGGGTCGGTACACTTTGTGGGCCCTGAGTAGACACCTAGTGTCGTGCTCAAGGCGGCAACAATTTGCACCATGAGAGCTTCTTCGGCACGTGAGCGTGCTCTTGCACTTCCGACTTGGCCTCTGGTCGCATCAAGGTCGAAGTCGTGAACTGTGCCAGGCTGGCACCTGCACTCATGACCTGAAAAGGGAATGGTGCTGAAAACCTTAATTTTGGCGGCGCTTGCGGCCACTCCTTCTTGCAACTTGATGCCCCAATGACACCAATGATGAAAACTAATATGATACTTGTGGCGCTGCAACATGGACTGAACGGCTTCGGGCTGAGAGTAGCTTCTACGGCCCGAGGACACGAAAGACGGAACTTGGAGTCGATCCGCCCAATCAAGCACTGACACAAGACGTGCTGTCACACGAGACATTCTGTCCTGCTCGCCTGTGCCTGCAAAATGTGCTGGATGAGCTAGGTCTACCCATACTGCTTGGTATTCATGGCGCTTAAGTCCTCCAAGGGCATGATCATACCCATCACGCAAAAGCTCAAGTGGTCGTAGCCTCATCGGCTCCCAGTGGTTGCTCATGAACGCTGCAACTGTGGATTGGAAAAGAGTGATCAACAGCACCCTGCGCACAAAGCTGCCCACAGATGACCTGACGGGCATGGATTCACTGACTTTGGGTACCTGCTGTTGACCTCCATGCGGCACTGGTTGCTGTGGACTTGAGGTTGGCATGGAGACTGGGCACGCAATTGCTGAGGTGACTGGACGTGCTTCACTGGTAGCCTGGGCTTCTACGCCCTTCACCTCTGGCACCTCCTGGGATGGCTGCTGTTGACAAGATTGCGCAGTCTCGCTCTCTGCAGAAGGCACACCTGTGGTTGGCGCGGAGACTGGGCATGCAATTACCGAGGTGACTGGAAGTGCAAACCCCAACTCACACAAGTGGTTGACCTCCACCTGACTTGCTTTGCGCAGACTGCCCGAGCAGTAGGCAATGATGATCACGCGGTGGCCGCGTGACCAAGGCTGTGTTGCGTGAAGGACCTTGGGATCCAGGGTGAGAGGCACTCCCTCTTGCAGGGAGAGGTTCTGGCCTGCAACGAGCTTCCCCTGTACATTACGCACTTCAATTTCTCCCTGAATGTTATCACCCTTCTTAAGCTGGGTCCATATCCCACCTCCATGCGCAGGCATACGTAATGGGATTATGGTGTTGCTCCCGGAGTTGAATTTGTCAGTGTGCTCCTGGCAGACAGCGTCGGCACTGACCGCAATGGCCGAAAACTTAGTGCGAGGGGCCAGGGCGCGAACCAACCTGCACAACATTCGCGTTAGCCTAGGCTGCTCTCGGGTACACGTGGTAAGGCCATGCGTTCCTCCATGTACATAGTAGCCGAAACTGCGAGTGGCGCCTGACACACTGGCGCTTTGACGCTGCTGTGCTGGAGGCTTTGACTGTTCTTGCCACGAGGCTGCAAGGTCACACACACACACTGTCGCGCAGCGTCAACGCTAAAGTTGGCAAGCACACTTTGGCAGAGGTCTTCTTCTGCACGCATGCGCTCAAGCTCTGCTGCAGTCGCATGACATGCTATAGCATTGCCGGCCCCTGCTTCGTCCACAGCTACAGGCAACACGCTGGGCTGTGCCTCGTCAATGAATAGATGGTGGTCCCCTTCGTGTGGGCCTGTGCTTGAGGGATCTACAGGGAGCAAAAGATGCCCGCTTTGGGCCCTTTCCAATTGAAACGTCTCGGAACCTTTTGGAAGGATGATGGTAGGCTCGCCATCGCCCATGAAATGCAACAGGTTCTTCTCGAGATCTAAGAGTGCCCTGTTCTCCTGTAGTGCGCGCAAGCCGAGCAATGCTGGACAACCGGATCCCTGAACTACGGGACTTGTAAAAGAGCCTGTGGCTTGGCTCCCATCTGCACGGGCAGGTTTGGGATCCCTTACCTACACCCCCTACATTTAAAGCGGCGGCTCTAGGAGTCAGCAAGGGAAGCTGGCCGAGCCTTTCAGCAGCATTGCTCAACCATTGTTCTCCTACCAAATTTCCGTAGGACCCCGGATCCACCAACAGGCCAACCTTCCCGCTGCTCAGCTTCACACTGCTGTGATATGCTTGTGCTGAGGATTCCGTGCTGGGCTTGCCTTGATCCTCAGAGCTTGTGCTGGCGTGCACATCAGGCACAGGCCACCATGGATATGCTGCATCCCCTGATATGTGCTGCTGCTCATCCATAGGGGATAGGAATTCTTCTTCTGAGTCCAGTGGCCTTGTCACTTCAGGAGACGCAAGGTGATGCTGGCTTGTGCTCGGGTCATAGGAACTTCCTGCAGCAGGGTCAGTGTCTCCTGAGGCTGTCCTTGTTGGACCGGGAACGCGCCATGAGCGGCTGATGGTGACACCGGCACGGCAGTTGGGGCACTGTAAGCTCATGTCATCGCTTATGTCGTCGAACACCGCACTATGCTGGCAATGCTCTCCAATGCATAGCGCATGAAAGATGTGCCCACAGCTTAGCCTGCACACTTGATCACCAGCAGTGTATTCACTGAGGCAGATAGTACAAGAGGCTACATGACCGCGGAAAGGCTGTGGTGATCCTGCGGAGGTTGTCTGGCTGGATGCCTGTGCGTCTGAAGCACGGCGCTCTCTGCGGTGTGCTGAGCGTAATGCATGCACCTGGGCGAACACTCCAACGGATGATGGCAGCTCTGTCCCGCTAATGGCAGGAGTTGCAGGCAGCGTATGTCCTACTGGCGGACTAGGCAAGCTGAACGGAGGCACCTCAACCTGACCTGTGAGCTGCGCTGACGGAGGAACCTGAAAGGCTGCTGGGGCGCTGCGCTGCTGTTGGGATTGAATCGCACCGAGTCTGCGAAAAGCTTCTGGCACAGGAGGAGGCTCTGAGATCCGGGGAAAGGTAGATTCAGTGCTGCTGGCTGAGGCTTGGGCCCGACTAGCCTGAATCTGGCCAAAAGCTGCTTGCATGTTCGTGCACCAGCTTGGTGCCTGAGGCTCGGGCCTGAGCGCAGTCAACGCAGGCGGTGGTTCATTAGTTAAGCCTATCGCTGTGCTGAAGCTCTGATTTGAACCCACATTACCTATACCCGGAATGAACCACTGCTGCTGCTGCTGTGGCTCTACACCATGCATTGCTTGACTTGCCATCGGCTGAGCGCTTTCAGGCACTTGACTGTTGTACCACTCCATCCATAGATCAGGGTTCACCGTCCATGGGTCAGGAGACATGTGATGCTCTGTTGGTGGCGCACTTGGCTGCGCCTGTGGACCTGCGGCCTGAGAGCTGGCACCTGTGCATGGCATGCTTGCACCTGGCACCTGAAAGCCTGCCTCGACGCCTGTGCTGGGCACACCTTGACCTCCAGCATGTGCTGCTGATGTCATGGACCTTGGAGTGGTCACGTTCTGCCATGACGCATCTGAAGGCTCAAACGTGGCAAAGTGCATGGCTCCTGTCTCGACGGTGAAAGTGGGGGCGGGCGCTCCTTGCCGAGGAGGATCATTGGATCCTGACGAGCCTGAAGTCCCCTTTCCTCCAGGGCGCTGATTGCATCTGGCACGTAAGTGGTAGACAGATCCACAGATGCTGCATTTAAGGGGGTCACCGTCACGGCCTGTGGGATTGAGGCGCCTACCAAACCCCTTCCCTGAACTTTTCCCCCCTTTTCCTTTACCCTTAAAGTAGGAAGATTGCTGCAGGAGATCGTCTATGTTGAGAAAACTTGACCGCATGCCCTTGCCCCTGCCCTTTCCTTTACCTTTCCTACGAAGGGTACGTCTTAAGGCCCTTACCGGTTTACCTGTAAACCGTCGCCATCTTCTCTTAGCTTGTTGATACTGCCCGAATAAGTACTCATCAACCTGAACGGGAGTAAGGCCTTGCAAGTCATCTGTTTGGATGGGCTCATCATGGTCGCTTGACGTGTTGCTTTCAGTATCTGACGCACCTGGTCCTTGCACTGCTGCAAAAGCCCAGTCTTGGACCTCAGGGTTCCACGCATCTGTAGGATAGGCTGGGATGTGGCCCTCTGCTTGCCATGACTCCGTGGGTCCTGAAAGGGAAGAGCCAGTATCGGCTTCCGCTGCTACGTATGCCTGGTGCGCTTGGCTAAAGTGGGCTTGCTGCTGAGGGGCACGTAGGCTACTGGCTATATTGTTGGGGAACCTTTCCACTATGTGGCCTAATCTTCTAATCCTATGGGTCATTTGGTGGAACTCCATATCAGTGGTGGGTAGCCTAAACCCTAGGGGTTGGGTGATGGTCTGGAATTGCTCTGAGGAAACGCCACAGGCCCTCAGCAATAGTAAGGACGCAGTCTCTATGCTAACAGCTCCTCCACCTTCACTCTGTGCTCGTTGACGGGTGATCTCGAACCTGGAGATCACTGTGTCAACTGTCTCACGCTGTCTTCTCGTGAATGCCAGCAAGTCTTGTGCTGCACGGAGTCTTGTCTCTTCATCCAGTGGGGCAAACCTGCTGCTCAGTCCGTGCAAGAGAAACGTGACGGGATCTAAATGTTGGCCGTTGACAACTCCACCGTGGTACACCTCGCCAGGCGACAAGGTGCGGGCAAGTTCCCGCGCTGCTCCCCCAAGCTGACTTATAATTGCGGCGCATTGTTGAGGAGGAGACAGATCTGTAACCACTGTCCATAACATAAGATCCTGCATCCAGTTACGGAATGATAGTTGATTCTCCATTGCCGGATCCCAGCGAGGGGGAAGACGCATATTTGCCTGTCCAACGTGTTGTTGAGGATTGAACATCAAGATCAGGATGCTAAGAACCATGATTGCGCAAGCTGCCGCAGTGAAGAAGTACAAACGCGAGTGCCAACGAGGTATCCAGTAAATGGCCTGGCCATGCGACAAGAGTCGTCGATCCAACGCGTCGTATCCAACACTGAGATTCGTTCCGTTCCGGCTGGGACCTATGGTGGCTTGCTCAGGGCGCCGTTCCTGCATCCTGGATACTGGACCCGGAGCACTGAGTACAGTCACCTGCCCGTTCGCAGCGACCATTACTACTAGTGAAACTAGTAGCTTCATCGCCCCCATGGTCCTTGGACCGCTCCAGGGAGCTCCGCTACCAGCTAGAAAATCACTTGATGAATGCGAAGACTGACAACAATGGGCTCTTTTGCTTCTAACTCAACTGTCTGAGCGCTCACGCTTCGGTGGCTTGGCTTCAAGCTACGTGCTCCACACAATAGCCTATCAGCATGCTTGCACTGTACACTTGCATAACGAGTACAAGAAAGCCTATTATATGGAGCACAAAGACAAAATCAACGAGAAGCGTAGAGAACGGGCACGTCAGAAAAAGCAGGAAACACCCGCGAAAAGCGAAGAATGAGATGTAGTTTAATATTATTATAATATAATATTAAATTTCATTAGAGACACCTTGCCCCACATAGGCTTATTGTTATTCGTGGGTTTACGGGTTAGGGGTAAGCGTATTAAGGGTTTGGGATTTGGGTTTTATGGCTTGGGTTTTGGGCTGAGGAATAACGGGGATTTATGGGGGAAGGTGCTTTTTCTGGGTTTAGGCTTGGGATTTTGGGAATATGGTTTTACGGGGATTTGGGCTTGAGATTTTGGGCTTGGGATTTCGGGAATATG